ACGAGACCACTTCCCCTTCACAGGTCTTCGAAACTGCAGCTCCTTCTACTATATCCGAGACAACCTTCCCTTCTAATGCTTCCGAAACTACTGCTTCCATTGCTGAGACTATCGTTCCTTCTACCGTTCCTGAAACAACTTCCTCTTCAAACATCTACGAGAGTTTCAAAACCACCGTTCCTTCTACCATTTCTGAGACCACTTCCTCTTCAAACGCTTCCGAAACTACCGCTTCCTCTATCACTGCCGAAACCACCGCACCTTCAATCATTCCTGAAACCACTACTACTTCCAACGCTCCCGAAGCAACTGTTTCCTCCACTTCCGGGACTACTGCTTCTTCAAACATCCTCGAAACTAGAGCTCCTTCTAGTGTTGAGGTAACTTCTTCCGAAACTTCTGCTTCTTCTACTGCTGCCGAAACTTCCACTCCTCCTACTAATGAATGAATTGTTTAGCTGTAATTGCTGTGATATTTTTCTTGGTCTTTCCTTTCTCAAACAGATTTTTGTAGTCAAGCTCTATCAATAGTAACAAATCGCAACTGACTCGTTTAGAAATTCTTTCATAACAGATAAATCGCAGTCACACTTGCAACCATAACATCGTTACAAACTACTAATTGAAAAAAAGGAGTAAGGAAGTTGAACAGTTTCACTAAAAATACCCCTTTCATGCTACATAACTTAAAGAAGGATTTGAGTGGATATTTTTTGGATTTGATAAGGTCTGCTTTGTCGAAATGTAAGAAATGATTAGAATGGTGGGCCGTTTTCATACAGTACTACCGAATGATCTCTATTTGCAAATCAAAGAACTGCGCAGAATTCTATTTGCATTCTATACGTTACGTTCCATGATCTTCTATTGAAATTTCAGCCAAGAAGCTACATATTTGCATAATTAAAATTATGGTAGAAGTGTAAAACCTTGCAAAAGCCTGTCGAGGCAACCTTTGATGTGGAAATGAGGTTAAGCATTGTGTTGACAAGTACTTCACTGCGCTGTTTGTTGTTGTTTGATCTTTATGCTGACAACACTTCTTTAAGTGCATTTTCGATGTTGTAACTGTCCTTGCTATTTTGCTTTTGTTCCCGGGCAT